AACTGCTTTGATGACTACTTCTTTGGCTGCCAAAGACATGTTTTTTGACTTCCACTGACGTATTCGGTTTGCTAACGAGTCTTCTATATATCAAAAAGTTTGGATTTTAGATCTCTGGACTTGAGATGGAAGTCCAAGATATCTATCATGAACACCAATTGCTGACACACCAAGTAAACCAGCTAGGCGAGTAGCTTCCAAATCTGAGACACTAGCACTGAATGAAACAGCTTATTTCTGAAGATTCACTCGTTGCCCACTCACTACTTCATATTCTTGAAGTATTTCAGTTAGACGGGCACATTCAGTGGAGGAGGCACGGAGGAAAAGGTAACATATTTATAAGTTTGTGTTGTTGAGTTTTGGTTGGGAGCATTGAATGAAATTTAATGTCTTTGGTGTGAGTTTAATGTTTGTTGGTCTTCTGGGATTCTACTATGAGCTAGTTGGATACTAGTTACCTATTGTTTGTTGGACGTAGTTTGTAGCCTATGTTTAATTTGTATGGATACTAGTCTGGGCATTTTTTTATATTCATTCAATTATTGTGGATACTAGTATGTCGGATTATAGTGTGGATACATCGTTGGAGCAATAGGATACTAGTTTAAGATTCATGGATACTACTGTTTACGGATATTTGTTAGACGTATTCTCGGTAAATTCTGGGCACATTGGATACTAACTGGGAATGGAAATATCTCGCAGCTCACAACACTTCGGACCTAGAAGATGATGAAGCGAGGAATAACCTCTTTTTTCGCACTAAGGAAGAGTGTGTTCATTTCTACGAACGCTATACTCACAAAAAAGGGTTTGTTGTTCGAGTAGATTCGCAACATTTGAGAAAAAAGAAGAATTCTGAAGGAGAGGTGGTGGAAATTTATGCCTACCTTTATTATGTTTGTAATAAGCAAGGGTCATCGGAAGAAGTCAATGTTGAGAAACAGAAACATGGAGAGGATTCGGTTGTAGAGAGAAGCCGCCCTAAAAGAAAGAGGTCTCGAATTACGGCTGAATGCCCCGCCCTTGTTCGTTTCCAATGGGATGAGAATAGGGATGGATATGTGGTGCACAATTTCAATGGAGCTCACAATCATGATTTGCACTCCACCAAGCATGCTCACCTATTAAAGTCAAACAAGTCCGTGAGCGTTCCTCAAGGACTTGTTGTTGAAGCAAATCGCAATGCCGGGATGAGTCTTAGGTCATCGTATCAGCTATTGGCTAAGTGTGCCGGAGGGTATGAGAACTTGACTTTTACCAAATGTGATAAGAAGAACCATTTGAACAAGAACAGACAAAAGACTATGTCTCGTGGCGAAGCGACGTTCTTGCTTGACTACTTTCAAGACCAAAAGGAGAAGTATCCCGGCTTCTTTTATGTTGTAGAGGTAGATTGTGAGGAGAAAGTTGCCAATATTTTTTGGGCAGACAGTAGGATGCGTGAAGATTATGCACTTTTCGGAGACTCTGTCTCCTTCGACACCACCTTCCGAACCAATAAATACTTCCGGCCATTGGGTATGTTGACCACTTATTTTCCTTATTTTTTTGACACGCAAGCGGTTATGCATTGTTTTTAATACCAAGTATTTTGCAGGGATGTTTGTAGGTTTCAATCATCACCGACAAACTTGTGTGTTTGGCGCTTGTTTGTTATATGACGAGACAACTCCTTCTTTTGAATGGTTGTTTGAAGCATTTAGTCGGTGCATGAAGAGGAAACTCCCAGTGACCATCTTTACGGATCAGGACGCCGGTATGGCAGCTGCCCTTAGAAAGGAGTGGCCAGATGTGTTTCATGCCCTCTGTACTTGGCACATCTTGATGAATGCGAAGAAGAATCTTCGTAAGAGCAAGAAATTTTGGCATAAGTTCCAAAATCATCTTGCTTATCTTTTCTACTACGTCGACAACGAGGCCGAGTTTGATGAGGCATGGAGCAGCATGGTTTCTGATTGTTTTCCCGGTAGTGAAACTGTCGATGGCCACCAATGGATGCAATATTTGAAGAAATTTCATCATCAATGGTGTTCCTTATATCTGAGAGATCAATTCACAGCGGGAATGTTGACAAACGCAAGCCAGTGAGTCGTGCAATGCACAAGTGCGACTCTTCTTGAATCCGAAACATAATCTCGACGAGTTTTTCATCCACTTTAACTGGTACGTTATCCAAATACTAGATGGACATTTATGGATATTACTTAGCAAATTATTGATATTTTTAGATGCTTTTCAGGTATTTGTATGTGATGGTGTGATACATTTTTTTTGTTGTTTGGATATTTGCTCTGTTTGTATACGGATATTAGTCTGGGCAATTTGGTTTTCTTGATACATGCAGCTTGTTGGCTGAAAAAAGGCGCAAAGAGAATGAGTCCGACTACGATGGGAAACAATCAGCCCTCTACATAGTGTTGGAGAAAAGCTCGATCCTCCAACATGCTGCCAAGATCTTCACGAAAAACATCTTCAACCGGATTCAAGAGTAGTATCTGGAAATTGAAAACTATCTAATTGAGCTTGTCCCAGATAATAGGTATGATGGATTCATTAGCTACCGTACATATAAGATGGAGGATGGTAAGCGTAGCGATGAACGTGTCACTCTTGTCGATACTTCTACGGCCACATTGGTATGCGATTTTAGGATGTTTAGAACATTCGGGGTCTTATGTCGGCATATGCTTAAGGTGATGCGATTGCTTGGAGAGTTTGGGAACGATAGTATGAGAACTATTCCAGATCATTACATACTCAAGCGATAGACGTTGGAGGCGAGAAGGAAAGAGGTTGGTGATGCTGATGCTTCAGGCGATACTTCACATAGTCATGAGAACGAGACGGGAAAAGGAGATATAGCAATGAGGTACTGAGAAACCACTGCAATGTTTAATCAGCTCGCAACAAAATTGTCAATGGCGGATGAGAAAGTGTACAACAGGTGGATGGGAGCATTGCAGAAAGTGTGCAAGGAGGCAAAAAAGGCATTGTCAAAGACTATAACTATCGAGGACGGTAAGTGTATCGAATATTTTTTGTAAATTAGTATAAGTTAATATCATTGGACGGATTACTTAAGCCACTAACATTGTAGGGAATTATGTACCAACAAGTGGCCTCTCTCTCAAGGAGAAGAGTAATCCAAGGAAGCACGACAAGGAACGTTATAAGTCAAGGAATGAGAAAGAGCGTCGTCGAAAGAAGATTGTCTATGGAAAGAGATTGAAAGCAGTGGAAGTGCTCACGCAGGACACCCATTTTCAACATGATGACCATCTCGCTGACTTGGAAGACGACCTTGCTGAATTTGGGTGTGGATATTAGTTTGTCAAACTCGGATATTTTTTAAGCAGGCTACGATATTTCTCTATGTTCTAAGGATATTAGTATGCATTGTAGGGATATGTCTTTTGGTTCTACAAATATGTTCTCTAAACATTCAGATATTTTTGTTATATTTTTTGTATGTGGTTGTGTGGATTTTATGTATTTCCATCGCATATGCTCAGATTTTAGTTTGGGTGTTTTGGATATCACTTTGGGTCATATGCTATACTTTTGTTGAAGGAAAGATATTCTTAATCCATCCTTGATAAAAAAATCAGGGATATACTTAGTGTTGTCTACTTTAAACTAATAAATCGAGCAATTTAATCAACATAGTAAGTGTCTACTTTTGTCCAAAAATTACCAAAATAACACAATCACCTTAAATTAATAAAGCGAGGGATCAGGATAGAGTTAGTGTCTCCTTTTCTCCAAAACTTCCCAAAATAACCCAATCACCTTAATACCTTAACATCAACATATGTCCCATGAAACATAAGGAGGTAAGTTTCAGCTACTCTTCCCTTTCTCCTTATCTTTTTCCCACTCATTTGCCTACTCAAGTATGACATTCCTTACTTTGTTGTATTTCCTTTGAAGGAGACTGCCTGCAATGGATGCTCGCTGGTGCTCCACGTGCTTTGCCAAGTGCCAAGTTTCCTTGTATTCCGATGGAATGTGACCCGCCCAGTGCTCCATGAACATGCATGCGAACACTCCACAGTCATCGTTTCCTTTTTGTTGAGGAACATCCGCAATTAAGAATTCCCAATCATGCAAGGGAGCATCGATGTTGTGCTTTGCAAGGAAAGCAGCCCCATACTCTAATATCAATTTTCCCATGGGACTGTGATCCACCTTGGCCACTGCTGGGGTCTTATGTTGTCCAGAAGGAAAGTCTTCTGACTCCTTAGATCAGCAGCGTAGACCCGGTAGTGATGGTCTGTATGCACAGGGAAAAAAATCTGAAACATAGAAAAAAATCAGTTATACTCTCGGATAAATTATCCAAAAAACCCAGACTAGTATCCAAAACTAACATTTCATATATTCACAGGCAAATCTTCAAACAAATCAATTATTCTCTCGGATAAATATCCAAAAAACCCAGACTAGTATCCAAAACTAACATTTCAGATATTCACAGGCAAATCTTCAAACAAATCAATTATTCTCTCAGATAAATATCCAACAAACCCAGACTAGTATCCAAAACCAACATTTCAGATATTCACAGGCAAATCTTCAAACCTAGACAATTATTCTCTCGGATAAATATCCAACAAACCCAGACTAGTATCCAAAACAACGTAAATCAGTATCAAGATAGAATAAGGATTCACTTACATATTCTAATTTGTCCCATGCAACACGTTTGAAGACTGGAACCCGCTGGGTCACTTCAATGACAGCATCGAGTCTCTCCTTGGATGGGGGCACATTCGTCTGAGAATTAAGGATGGCAAGTTGCTGTTTGCAAAGGAAAACAATAGCTAATTAGTTACTGGATATTTAAATATTGTAAGGTGTGAGTGAAGAGCCTACTTACAACGGAAAGATAACTCTGTTCTTGTCACCAGCAAGCGCTTTGTCGTTCAAGAAATGACCATAAGCCTCAACCACTTGGATATTGACCCACTCTAATCGCTTCGATGTCAACAGATGAAGACGGGCGAGTTTAATTGAAGGAGTGTGCACCACCAAGCCCTTACCCTCAGGGGTACTGAAGACGAACTCAACCATACGACGAGCAACTGGGTCGAGCTTTGTCGACACATCCTTCGACAAATAATATACTGATGAAGAAGCAGATGGGTTCTTCTTCGACCTCTCGAACGCTGGGGTCTTTAGTAAGCCATTCCTCAGGTGTGTAGCTGTACAAATGTTCTTGTTCCTCCTCATTCATAGTCGTCTCATGCGTGATAATCACATCTGGACTCCTCTCAGCGCTATTACAAGCCGCTTCTACCAACTCCTCGTCTGTAGGCAACATTCCCATCTCTGTAAGTTGGGAGAACGACTCCACCACATCATGAGTAGTTGTCTCTAGAACTTCCTCCCTTGTAGGTGGGTCTTCTTCCTCGGCATTAGCAGCTGTAGTAGCCTCATGAGCTATCTGCATAATGTCCTCAAAAGTGGTATCTGGGTCTGTGTAGTGTATCACCATAGGGACTGTCGGCTCAAACACCTCCTCAACCGGTGTCTCTACAGTCTTCTCTACTTCATTCTCCACCACCTCAAATCTATTCTTCTCTTCAGGATCTTCTTCACACATTTCTCTAGTTTTCTCCACTTGTGGCTCGACCTGGTCCTTCTCTAGAGGCTGCTCATCCATTTCCATTTTAGCTTCAGGATTCTCTACTTGGTCTTCCACCACCTCTGTTTTAAGCTGCTTTAGCACCTCCTCAACAGTATTCTCCAAAGGTCTCCTCCTGGAATCCACGACCTTGCACCTGTCATGCTCCTCTCTCTTTTCTATCATCTGTCCCAGTTTTGTGGCAAAGTCCACCAATTTTCCCAAATGTCGGTCAATCGAACCACCTAGTACCTTAAGCTGGAAGACAAACAAACATTTTGCGCAAATTAAAAACTATCAACGCACATGTATCCAGTATAGTATCCAAACTGCTTGTGCAATTATCACATGTACCCAGTATAGTATCACAAGAGAGCGTACATATATTCAAGTTGGCAGAATTGATATCCAAAAATAACAAACAACGATTTCACAGAAATATCCAAATGCATAACATTAATATCCAAACCTCACAAACCAGTATTCATAACTGAAAAGAAACCACAAGCTGATATCCAAATGAAACCAACAAATATTCCAGAACAACAAACTAAAATCCGACTAATATCCAAAGCCATTCCAACATGGCATCAAATTCATGGAAAACAGTACAACCCCCCACCAAACAACGGAAAACAGTAGATCAAATTCATTCTTGATGTTCCAAATTCCGGACAATCGTTTGGACCTTGTCCCTTCGAGCCACCCACTTTTCAATCATGCTCTTAGTCATTTCCTTCAATTCCTTAAGCTACACATATGTTGTGAAATATTTAGGTTACTATATCGTCCAAGTCTACCAACGCACTATCTTAGTTAGGGAGGAAAAAAACATTTTACCTGCCCTAGCGAAAGGCTAGTCAAATCTTCAGTCTCCCACCATTCCGCGGTGGGCATCGGTGCACGATCTGGAGGAGGAGCTGAACTGCTGGCAGCTGCTGCACTAGTACCCCCAATAGCCACCGGCTGGAGCTGCCTGCGAGAGGCGATTTCTTTTCTACTCAGCAGAGCGGCAGCTAGGTCATATCTTCCCCTGACTAAGGGGATAGATGTGCTTGCCCTCTCGACACTTTGCTTCCACCAAAACCGGCAGCTAGGTATGGTCTTTGTGTGCAACCCGCCTAGTTTTAGAGAGTCCAGCAGATGGAGCTGTAAAAAAATTACAATTAATAAATGTTAAGCGCCATTTCTAGCAATTTAATCAACAAATATCCAGTCTCAACACAAATAGTATCTTATGTGACTAAACTGATATCCATAAATCATTTCATAATTTCTTACAAAACAAAGAGTATCCGAGTTCAGTTTTCATGCAATTGAACCAACAATTGGAAGAAAAGGTTAGGACTTACTATCAAGAAGTAGAAATATCCGAGAACCCACACGCACGGGGAGCCCAACGCCCTTGCACTATGTTCTTTTTTCTTGGCAACAGTCAACTCTACTTTCAGTTCACAGACAATAAATGTACACCAATCGTACACCCTCACGTCCTCAACACTCCCACCTAGGTAAGGGGCAAAGTCCATCTTGCACCTCCGAGAAAATGTTGGCACGAGCATCGAACCAGTAGCTAGCAGCAAGAATTGCTTGACAGCAATTGCAACAGGTGTTCTAGGACCGTTGGCTGGAATGGGCAACTGTTGCAGCTTCTTGATAGGAACCATGCAAGCCCTGTTAGGAATCATGCCAACTTCATCGCTGAAACTGTCGAGCATCCCCCCCCCCCTCAACGTTCTTCAAATCAATCACAGCACCACCGAGAGGAAGGTTGTACACACGTGCCACATCCCCAGCTGTGAAGTCGAACACCTTCTTCGATTCTCCTTCACCAAAAACAAAAGTACTGGTTGAGGGGTCATAAGCAGCCATCAAGTCGTCCATGAAGACATTGGGTATCTTCGGCATGCGAAGTTCCAATAGGCCCCCGAATCCTGCCTTCTCGACTTCTTTCTTGCATGCTTCATAGTATCCAGCATCTTGTTTCCAGTAGCTTCCAGTAGCTTATAATTTTGAAGAGGGAATAGGTGGAGCCACGAAATCTGAAGTATGAGCCACAGGGTCCCTCTCCCTCATCATCATCTTCCTCATCTTCCTCCTCACCTTCTGGAATAGCAGGCGGCGGCTGCCTCGGTCCTTATTCTTCAAGAGATCTCGATGCAACCATTTTCGATCTCTTTCTCTCGGGTTGTTCCTGAAACACAGATATATATTAAGCAAAATATCCATAATCCTTGGACAAATAACTAAAACGCACAGTTAAATATCCACATTAACAGAACTTATATCCACACATCAGAGTAGATTTTTAAGCCAATATATACAATTATTATCATAGTAAAGCAAAAATGTATCCAAATGGAGATAACTGATATCCGTGAAAAAAATATCCATAATCCTTGGACAAATAACTAAAACGCACAGTTAAATATCCACATTAACAAAACTGATATCCACACATCAGAGTAGATTTTTAAGCCAATATATACAATTATTATCGTAGTAGAGCAAAAGTGTATCCAAACGGAGATAACTGATATCCATGAAAAAAGTATCCATAATACCCACACAAAAAAAACTAAAACGAATAGTTAAGTATCCACACTAACAGAACTGATATCCACACATCAGATTATTTTTTTAGCCAATATATACTAATCGAGAAACGAAGTGAGAAATCAAACCTTTGGTGGTTGTTTATCCGGTGGCTGCTGTGATGATCCAGCTGCTTCACGAGATTTCCAGGCAGGTTTTGGTGCAACAATCTTGGATTTCTTCATCACGGGTTGTTCCTGAAACATAGTTAGAGAATAAGAAAAATATCCAGCCAAGGAAAATATTAAAATGCATCTGACTATTAATCTTTAGCCAACATAACCAATCGAGAAACGGAGTAAGAAATGAAACCTGTGGTTGTTGTTCATCCGGCGGCTGCTGTGATTATCCTTCTCCCTCATTGTTGGGCTTTGACTTCTTTTTTGGTCTCCCTATTCACAGAAACAATATAAAAAATGACCAGAATAAGTATCGGAAGTGACAAAACTGATATCCATGTAACCTTTAATCAAGGAATCGACAAACGATACCCAGACTGCCCAAAATCGTATCCAACAAACCCCCAAAATGGAATTCGAGAAACCATACTGAAACAATATAAAAAATGAACAGAATAAGTATCGGAAGTGACAAAACTGATATCCATGTAACCTATAATCAAGGAATGAACAAACAATTCCTAGATTCCCCAAAATCGTATCCAACAAACCCCCAAAATGGAATTCGAGAAACCATAAATCTGGAAACTAGGGGGGAAAAAACCAGAGCCCCAAAATTCGAATCCCACAGACCCAGAATATGGTAATCTAGAAACAAAACCCTAAACACCCATATTCGAATCCATGAAACCCAAAATCTACAAATCGAGAAACGAAACCCTAAACCCCCAAATTCGAATCCCACGGACACAAAATCTGGTAATCTAGAATCAAAACCCTAAACACCCATATTCGAATCCATGAAACCCAAAATCTACAAATCCAGAAACGAAACCCTAAAACCCCAAATTCGAATCCCACGGACACAAAATCTGGAAATGTAGAATCAAAACCCTAAACACCCTAAATTGAATCGCATGAACCCTAAATTTTGAAATCGATAAACAAAACCCAGATTTCCACAAAAAAAATCCATGAAACCCTAACTTACTATCCACAAACAAAATGCACAATAAAGAGAGGAGAAGAAGCCAACCTGAAACCAAAGCGATATCCTTCTTCATCGGCAGCGGCGGCAGCGACGGCTTCCTTCCTCGTCGGCGAAGTCCTCGTCTTCTTCTTCCTTCTTCGTCGGCGGCGTCTTCTTCCTCGTCGGGATAGCTTCAACGTCGTTGTTGGCGTGGTTTCCAAGAAGCAGTCGCCGACCTCGCAGCCGTCGGCGTCGCTTTGTTGGTGGTGGTTTTCAGGAGAAGAAGAAGCAGAGAGGGAGAGGGTTCGAAAGTTTTTTTTGGAGAGAGAGGGGAGAATGGAAAACGCGGGGGCAGGGAGAGAGAATCAGGTTTTTGGTTTGAAAATTTGGGTTCTTTTTTTCTGGCCCCACTTCTCCCAAAAGTGTCTCGGCTTGGGCAAAAAATCAATCCACCCTCACATCACAGCGCCGACGATCCCTCACCCTTCGATGGTGGCAAGGCGACGTGGCCCTTCATCCTGCCCTGTTAGTATCTGCTAACAACTTAAAGGATTAGCAGCATAACTAGATTGGAAAACGGTGGCGACAGGAGGAGTCGGGGTAGGGGACTGGGTTTCATGCGTCGAAGAGTGTCATTGGTCCCAATACGGTGTTGAGCAAATAATGAGATTGGTGGTAGGAATTTGAGAGGACGCATATGGACAGGAGGAAGTTAGACTTTGGGGCGACGGTGGCGACAAATGTTCAGTTTTCTTGGTTGTAGAGATTGTGTTCGATCGTCACCGCCGCCGAGACTGGTAGTGGTAGTTGTCGCCATCTGAAATTAGCGGGTATTAGATGTTGGATATTTGGTTAAACCGGACTAACCAAGTTAAACCGATTTTTGGTTGGACCGACCAACTGGTTTGGGATTAGATCGACCGAACAAATATTCTAATTTCATGAATGAACACATCCCTTTGGCCGAGTGGCGGTTGCATTATTTTATGGATAAGGATGACCTTATAGATAAGGACAACCTTTCATATGGATAATGACAACCTTTCATACGGATAAAGACAATCCTTCATATGGATAAGGACAACCTTTCATATGGATAGAAGCAAGCTTTCATATGGATAAATGCAAACTTTTGTATGGATAAATGCAACCTTTCATGAAACAATGCATGGATTGGACCCTATAAATATATGTGTGGGATGGATGATGACACATATTATACCATCAAACATATTCTTCTTCTTTCATTCAAAAATTTCTAAGTATGCTTTAGACCATCTACAATGCTAGGGGCAAGTGCCAATCTTTAGCACTTTTGAGCTTCGATGGCAAAAGCTAAAGAGTCAAGTGTTATATTCTAAGGTTTTGGGAGCCAAATTTTGCTCACAAAAAACAAAAAGTGCTTAAGGTGAAATAAAAATCGTAGAGAGATGGGGGGAGGAAAACGCGCGGGAGGGGAAGGGGCCTCCAGCTTCAATGGCAAAAGCTAAAGAGTCAAGGTGTTAAATTCTAAGGTTTTGTGAGCCAAATTTTGCTCACAAAAAACAAAAAGTGCTAAAGGTGAAGTAAAAATCGTAGAGATATGGGGGGAGGAAAACGCGCGGGGAGGGGAAGGGGGAAGGGGCCTCCAGCTTCCCACGCGCGCGTCCCTTCCTTTTTTTTGTAAAGGCAAACTACAAATCAACCCCTGGAAAACTTCTCCACCTGTCACCAATTTCGCCCCAACGGCTATTTTCTCCTCCAACAGCTATTTTTTTGTCCCAATAGCTATATTTTTTAAATTTTCTCTATAAAGATCACCACATACTTCACTTCTAATTACACCACAACTACATTTTCCTCTCCTTCACCTCAAATATCAATCCCTCACTACATTTCTCTTTCTCTCTGGATTTCTCTTCCTCTCCAACTTCTCGTCAACCCAATTGGACCGATGATGAAGATAAGAAATTAGCCAGACTTTGGATTCAAATATCGGAGTATGGTGCAGTTGGTCGTTGTCAATCCAATCCGATGTTTATTGCTCGAATTACAGCCGCATTCGATGACATCATATTTATCATCGTAAAAAAAACATATTAAATTTAAAAAAAATTATATCAAAATGTTCGTTTTCATTAATTATGACTAATTATATAAAAACAATTACAAAATTATATAAATAAAGCAATGAAATGTACAATAAACTAACACATCAAAAAATCATAAATGTAGCACTTTGGCATTTGGCTCTACTCCATTGGAGCAAAAGCACTTTATTGAGTGCCAAATTTGGCACTAATTTTTAGCACCCCATTGTAGATGGTCTTAGTGTTCTTGAGTCTAGAACCTAAAGTGGTGATAGTTTTATCCTCAGGAGAAATTTCCTGTAACCCAATGCTTTTATAGAGGGTGGAAATATTCTTTTCAGAAAATGAACGTTGTTCACGACTCTATCACAATCCTGGTCACCCTGTCTCGGGCTATCGTACGTGTACCCTCGTCTCAAAATTCCCAACAATCGAAAAGAATAGTTTCTGGTACGACGACTAGAACCTCTCTTAACAAGAATCCGATTCTAGCCTATGGAATTATGAGAATGTTGGATGATGAGTTTTTCATCGATTGCAGTAGAAGATGGCTTTTCTTTGTACTAGTCTCATGGTGTATTCCATATCCGGAAGTCAACTTGGAAGAGAGATGATTTGAAGATGAGGAAGAAGGAGAATGCTTCGTAAAATAAAGAAATAAGAGAATGAGAATTACCTTTGTGTAGGTCTCATACTCAATGATGTAATTTATCTGATTCTCTATTTTGACATTTACAAAGTCTTAGACAAATTTTGATCTGTCTAAGTGGTTTGATGGTGTGATTTTGTCTAGTGGTTTATGTTATTTTAAACCAAGGAGACAAAAGTGTATATACAATGTTTGATGATACTGGTAATAGAGTCGTCATATGTTTGTACTTTGTATGTAGATGATATATTTATCTTTGAGACCAATCAAAGATAGGTGGACTATACGAAAAAGTTTTTGTCATCTAAAATTTCCCATGTGGGACATGGGGGAGGAAAAGTGATTATGTGTATTTAATCAAGCGAAACGACAAAAAAGATTTCCTACTATCAATTTTCTGCATGAGAAGGTACTTTCAAAAATTTCATAGTAGGAATTGTCGTGAAAAGGTACAAGCAACTTTGAGCATTGCGCTATCCCTTCATT